ATTAACCAAAAAACTACAGCTATTCCTCACACCTCCCTTTACCATTTCAAAATAGGTGGAGAGTTTGTGAAACGTTATATTTTGCCCAGCCCTTGGGGGAAAAACAACCACTCTCACAACTTTGGACAGGAAGTGGTCTCTCCTCCAGAATCCAAGGGTTGGCCAGTTCCAGCCAAGAGAGTCCTTGACAGCAGAAAACAAGCTTCTTGCATCCCACTGAATCGACGAAGGGAGCCCCAGAAGATGCCAACCAACAAGAAAGATGGGAATCCGTTCCAGGGGGTTGACTCACGACTCCTACAAGGGTTGTTCTAGCTCACAGATTATATGACAGCAAACCCATCCTGTTTATTTGCATTCATCTCACACTTTTTCTGTAGGAACTCAAGGTAACATATACAGGGGTGTCCACTCCCTCAATAACAACCTAGTGTGGTAGGCTGGGCTAAGATCCAAAGACTGGCCTAAAGTCTTCTGGGGTCCAGTGAAGATTTGAACCTGGGATTCTCTAGTCAAAGTCCAACAAGTTTACTAACCTAGATTAAACTATCAGTTGCATTCTGATTAAGGAATTCATGCCAATCTTACTTGTGAGCTGAATGTGGGACCTTGGTCCCCTTAGGGACATCAGTCTGGAAAAGATGGTTCTATTGTTAGTCAGAATAAGAGAGTTCTCAAGGTGGCAGATGCTAGAAGTGGCTATAAGATTTCTAGGTGGCCTGTTTGCTGCTCTGTCTACATTATCTTGGATTCCTTCCAGACAAGGCAGGATGCTGGCTTGTCATTCATGTGATGTCCAAAAATAGAGTCCTCTCACCAACGTTGCACGTGGAAGGGGAGGAGGTGCCTTTTGGTCCTGGCCTGGCCAGGGGTGTCTGCAGGGTGGTCAAAACAATCAAGATGGTGCCCACCATGGTCACGCTTCAGGAGAGATTTGAAAGAAACAAAGATTTGTGGATTTGTAGGTACATAGGGTAGCAATGTGGAAGAAACTAAAGAAGCAGAGTTTACAACAAAGGGGGTCACTTTCCTTCAGAGTCGGGCTCCCCATCTGAGTGGACCAAGGGCCACAATGGGTGGGGCAACTGGGCAGTGTGGGCGGAGCTACAAGACCGACATGGATGGGGCCAGGATTTTCTGCTTTAGTCCCCAGGATGGTGTTGGGGAGAGAGAAAGATTTAGTTTCTTTTTTTTAATTGTGCAAAGGCTATTTTAAAGCAGACGCTGCATTGTCTTAAGTTATCAGTTTCTGATTTTAAGCAATGATGCCCCTGAAATTTGATGGTATAGGTTGAGGAGGCCCCAGGAGCAGGGAGGGGAGGGGAGGGGAGGGGAGGAATAGCAGGCTGGAGGCCCCAGATTGCCCATCCCTATTTTAGGATGCTCAACATGATTATGACTGAGTCTCCACCTAACTCTCAAGGAAGAGAGGTTCCTTTCCAGCCCAGAAGGATGTAGCACATTTTTGGTCATGGCACCACAGCTTACTTGCCAACATGTTCATGCATTTCAGAATTTGGAACAACGAGAGAACTGCTTTGCAATTGAGACAAACAGGCGGCAGCCGCTGCTGTGAGACAGATGGAATTAAGGTTTGGAAACAAGCACTAAGTCCAGGATTTGAAATATTAAGCAGAAAGGTGAAGCTAAACTGAAGCGGAGCGGGGCAAACTCTCTGTTTGCATGCCATTCCGGAAACGGGGAGTCCCTCTGGCACAGTTTGAAGAAGCCCTCTCTAAAATAATCTTCTGCAGCTTCTGCCCCCCTCCAGATCTATATGGCTCTGTAATTCCCAGCGAGCATAGGGTGGCTGGGGATTATGGGAGCTGACATCCCAGATGGCTGGAGGGCACCAAGCAAAGGAAGGCTGTTTTAAAAGAGCTAAACTATTTTAGTATGACAAGCAAATGGAATAATTTATAAAAGGATGGCTGTTTAGAAGGATTTGACTGAGAACTAGAGACTCATTTCTTCGACAAGACTTCTCAGTGATCTTTCCAAGAGAATTGATGCTGTGGGAGGTTTTGGATGCAAGATGGGAAGGTCATGAAATGCTAATTGCCCGAATAGCAATGGAGGGTCTTCACTACTGTGAAGTTCACCCACAACTCTTGTTGGGGGGATGAATGCAAACTCCGGCCACAGAAGAAGACCCAGCAGCAGCCCTGGGAGCCATTGAAAAGGAGCATCACTTTGATATGGAATGACCTGATGCATGAGACCTTAATGCTCACCACTGCATGTGCATTCACTTCCAGGCACAACAGAATGGGGTCTATCCATTCAACAGTTAATCTGGATCAGCGTTTCTCAGCCTTGGCCACTTTAAGATGTA